GCCTGTGGGGGGAGGGGGGGGGGGGGGGGGGGGGGGGGGGGGGGGGGGGTGTGGATTAGGGAGGAGAATAACAGGGTGAAGGAAGACAAGTGAAACCACATGAAGGTCCATGATGTTCCTACAGAGACAGAAGACAACCACAGACGGGGGGAGGGGGGGGGGAGGGGTCTGGAGGTCAGAGCAGCTTTAACAGGTGTTGACCTCTATGACCTGTGTCCCAGTCAAAAATGAACTTTAGGAGAGAGTGAGTACCATTCACAGCTAGCATGGAGAACCTTCTGCTTTAGCCCCTTCCCTTTAGCCCTGATCTGGTTAAGGCTGTCTGATGGTTGAGGAACCACCTGGTACAGGACACCGTGGTCCTCTGAGGAGACGGGGAGACATGGGAGAACACAAGGGGGACATGGATGGATGGTTGGTTGGATGGTGGATGGATGGATGGGTGGATGATGGATAGTGGATGGATGGGCGGATAGTTGGATGGGTGGATGGTTGGGTGGATGGATGGTTGGATGGTGGATGGATGGATGGGTGGATGGTGGACAGATGGGTGGATGGTGGATGGTGGATGGTTGGGTGGTTGGTTGGGTGGATGGTGGATGGATGGGTGGTTGGTTGGATGGATGGTTGGTTGGTTGAATGGTTGGATGGTAACAAAAGAGAAAGAAAAGCAAATGAAGTTGAAGACAAAGACCTTGACACAGATGTTCAGACAAATCAGGACAAACATTGATGCGTCGTCATGGAAACAGAACAAAGACACAGACGTCCATCAAACTGAAGGGAACGTTCTGGAGAAAACATTCATGTTTGGGTGGAAACGTTCATCATATCAGTGGTACAATCTATAAATCAGAGATGGACCGATCGACTGGTCTGGTCTGGACCTGGACCTGGACCGGGTCTGGACCTGGTCTGGACCTGGACCTAACGTCCAGAGGAGTTAGTGAAGGAGACTAGACATCAGCCAGTGACAGGTCAGCTGACCAACAGAGGTGATTTCATTGGTCAGAAAACTTCAGTACTTTTCACTCAACAAACAAAGTTTGATCTTTAGACTTTCAGTCACACTGGTTGACACACTGGTTGACCTTTGACTGACATGTGACTGACCTTTGACTGACCTGTCACTGACCTTTGACTGACATGTGACTGCCCTTTGACTGACCTGTGCCTGACCTTTGACTGACATGTGACTGCCCTTTGACTGACCTGTGCCTGACCTTTGACTGACCTTTGACGGCCCTTTGACTGACCTTTGACTGACCT